CCCTTCACTTCCCTCTCTCGCGCCGTTTCCTCTGCCTGGCTCCTTGTGAGCATCTCACGCTTGCCCTTAGTCTGCAGGAAAGCACTTTGGTGGGATAACTGGGTAAATACCTTTACCCAGGTCACAACCGTGTCCTCCCTGAGGCTGCCACTGAGGGAAGGGCTAATACTGAGGCTCGTTTGCCCCAACACAGATATGTCTTGGGCTGTTCAAGATGAAGGCAGGAAAATATTGCATGCTTGTCTGGCAACTTTTCACCCTTTCCTCAGCCTAGACAGTAATATGTTTTGATGGTGGGCAGCAACATTCAACTTGTCGTGCAATCATTTTCAAAAGCAGAGGGCACTAGTGAAGGGAAAAGCTCTTTATAAAGACTCTGGAGCTTCACAAACTTCATTGTAGCAACGAGACAGCCAGTCTTCACCTGTACCCTTTGCAGACCGTGATCTTGTTTAAAACATATCTCACCCTTGTGATCCTTATTGCTTTTAACCCTCCACGTCTAGCGCACATTCTTGCTTTATGCCGCTTGGGCAACCTTTCTTCTGCCAGATTTCAGCTCCAGGTGACAGGTTTTACCTTTCCCAGCACCTCTTGGCTTCAGCTGAACAGGCACTTCTGTCCTTGGCGAGCACAGCTCTGCTTCCAGGTTACACACAGGCTTTTGTCTCCTTAAGTTACTTTTAGGCAACACAGAAAACCAGATAAAGCACCTATCAAGAGAAACGCCATGTATGCGTGATTCTAAATTGACTGGAAAACTCCGCTCTGCTCATGGATGCATGGCAGCTGCGCAGAGCGCATGGACAAAACGCGAAGGTAGTAGTGGGATCCCAAGGAGGAATTCAAGCATTATGGGTGATTTCCTTTCACTGCCCTTGAAATCTTCTAAGACGAGCTTCTGACTCAGTAGATGTCAGTCCCAAGATTAGCCAGTAACTAACATGTAATAACCTACACTTATTCACATCTCTTCTTTTTTTTTTTTTTAAAGGCATTTTTTAGCTTTGCCTACAGGATGGTGGATTATGAAACCTTTAAAGCAATTAATGATGCAGGCCTTGCCTTTGATGGGAGACTTGTGATCGACAGTAAGTTTTGTACCAGCGACGCCAGTATCAGGGCAGCTGGGCCTTTAACCAAGTACTCCAGGAGATATTATGCAGACGAGTGGACACATGGCGACTGCAGTTCGAAAGAGATCGGATTTGAGCTTGCTGCATCCATGCTGCCTCTCTTTGATCCAACCTCTACGCCCATTTCCAGGCCGCCAGAAGGCACAGATAGACTCATCCCCATGTACAAAGGGTGTAAAATTAAAGGTAGGTCAAAAATGGGTTTCTGTCACGCTTCCGAACCCTCTGTGGTGTTTTTTCCTTAGGTAGTCAGCAAGGAGAGGTAAGTTGCAAACAAAGCTTACACTGTAAATTTTTGCTAGTAATGGACCAAGCTATGCTTTCATTTATGTTGCAGTAAATATGGCACGTTCCAGTGAAATGCAGTGTCTTTATTTCAAGCCCAAATTCAATAAAACAATTATCAGAACTTTTCAATGCGTGGCTACAGCACCAGTATATATATGAGTACCCCAAAAAAGCTTGTAACGTGTAGTCCACCAAAACACATTCCTTGCTTTCTTTCTAGAGTCATTTAGTAAGTAAAACAACCTCAGGATTATAGGAGAAAGAGGGCAAACAGATACTTCATTTTGTTCTTTGTTTATGATTTAATAAATCTCCTGTTTTCATTTATGGCAGGAGGTGTTCTTCCTGGAGGTAACAATTACTTGCATATTTCCAAACCACAAATCCCCATCCACTTGGACTTAGAACTTTCCTCGTGTGATCATGTAAGTTACGTCGTTTGACTTCTCTTTGTTTCATTTTCCATTTGGAAATGTGTTCTTATTTAGAATAGCACAGGTACATGCAGAAGTACCACACATCTTAAAAAAATATCTTGAGCAAGCATGGGTTTAAGTGTGGATTTAGACACCTCCTGGAGCTGAGACTTATGAGGAAACTCTGGGGTGGAGCAAACCATATAAAAACAAAACCCTGTGATTATTTGAAAATACTTATTTTAATATAAATTCACTGTCATATTGTAAATGTGGAATCTGTTTCTCCCAGCTCAGGCTGGGAGGTTATCAGGTTGCCTTTTCCTCAGTATCCTTTTTCTGAGTGGCTTTCTTTTTGCTTGATTCTGTAGAGGGAGGCAAGTCCTTTTCTCAGTTGTATGAAATATGTTGCTTTTGGAGTTCCTGGCATGTATCTTACACATGGCACATCCAGGCAGTGGTGGTATTTGCCACCAGATTTGCATAAGAACAAATCCAGTCAGCTAAGCCTGGGTGCACTGTAGAAATCAGCTGGTGAACAACTATGAATCATGCGAATAACTGAGCCTCTTAGCTGTTTGCTTCCATACTTTCTCATACTTGGCTTTCTCAAAAGATGCGCAATTTCCATAAAGAGAACATAGGATAGTGTGAGCTGGATTTCACTTAAATATGCTTTCAGCCTTAGCACTTAACCCCTTTCCTCCCTGCAGTACGGTGCTATAAACGTGTACAGATGATAAAACTTTGCAGGCTATCAGTGGAACTCAGCTGATTTCCAGATCAGTACGAAAAGGTTATATTCTGGAAGGGATGCTCCCAACTTTGCTGCTAGAGAACCGCTAGTGCTACAACTGTGAGAGTTGTCTTTGCACAGGGAAGACGGCAGCACTTTGCACAGCTGGGCTACATCAGAGATTGCCCTGTGACACAAACTTGGAGAGGCCACTCTTACTGGAGAACTGGATTTGTGAAACAAGAATAGCACTAGATTCATGTATTTGAAAGCTAGAGAGGCCCATCCACCTAGGTGAGCTCCTGTTTCATGCGGCTTACGCCTTCTTCCTCAGGGATTTCGGCATCAAGCTCATTCTTCTAGTTGATATAAAGAGTGACTCTTGAAATGCTGCTTCAGTGTTGATTTTAAAACTTGGACAGCAATGCTCTATGGAAAGAAATTACTTTTTGAAAAAGGAATCCATGCTTTGTGGGGAGGAATCCAAGCGTGGCTCAGGATGATGCTGTCTGGAGCAGCATGTACTGAGAAGCAGAAAGGACTACTGGAGAGAGAAAAATGGGGTTTGTCACTGTAGATTGCTAGAACATGATTAGAATTCTTTTGCTGCAGCTTTATTACCTGCTGTCTGAAAAGGGAACATCCTAAAAGCCACTCAAGAAACTTCATGTAAATCCTAAAAGAATTTTCTAAGAAAGCGGTAAGAGAAGCTAGTGAAATGTATGATCTGAGAGATGTGCAAGTAACAAAGGTTACTGTAGCCTAGCAACAGGTTTCAGAAAAATATAAAACTGGAATATGAATGCAGATTTAAAAAACAGCTTCAGGTTATTGGATCATCCCACTGCAATGTGAGGTTTCAAACAAGTTTCTTAATTTTTGTCTTTTAAGTGATTGGTTTAGCCCGCTGAAACTAAATGCTGTAGTTTGAGCATCAATACCGAAGGTTATTATTCTTTTACCAATAGAGCTGGCGTTAGCAACACTTGGCAGCCTCTGTTCAAATTAGCAAGAGGGAGTCACCGAGAGCAATTCTAAACCATATATAACTGTGTATGTGTTTGCAGATATATATACACATGCATATGCATATATTTTTTTTTACACACAGTAGTAATTTAAAAGCCTAGGACACAGCCTGAAGGAAACATCCCAAGAGATCAAGCCTAGCCTCCTGCAGCTGCAGGCAACTATCTCGTACATAGTGCCCTTTATAAAATTTCTAAATTTGATTTAGAACTGAGCAGGGTGGTTCTTCATGTTTCTTTCCCTGTTGGAAGGCTGTTCCAACACCTCACACTTCTGGCTACTGGAAAACTTCTGCACCAAACCAAAAGTGCTTAATTGGTGTTTGATGAACCTTTGAGTTGCAACATTGACATCTGCTCATAGCTGATTAATGTGGTAGTATCGACCCTCCACCTACAATCGTCCAGTTTCTACAGTGCGCTCTAAATTTGGACTCTGCACATATACTGTTTGTATATATATATATATCAAAATATACATGTATAGTCTATGAATGTGGAGAGAATATGCTGAAGCATTCTTTACCCATCAGGATGGTATCCTGTGGTAAATTGTGAGATGCCAAGGGTAGGCAATAATACGAGATCTGCGTAATAAATCAGGATGAAGAGAGTCCAATTCAGATACCTAAACAGAGGTCTCTCTGTTCGTGTTGCTCTCTCTGTGTTGTTTGGGGTGCCCCAGGGCTCTCCTGACCTCCAGCTGCTGCTCCAGGCAGTCCCAGGTCTCCAGTGGCTGTGGCACCGTTCAGTGCCTGAAGCGGCAGCCAAAGCCCATGCTGCACAGTTGACCCAGGTCCAAACAACACAATAAAACTTCACATCCAAACCAGAGTGAAGCACCTCATTGTAGAAACCGTGGTGCCAGGGATGGGTATTCTTGATTAAAAACAGGGCTGTGGATTTTAAGAAGTAGTAGGTATGGGCTAGGAAGCCCGAGCTGATCCTGTATGTACACCGAGGCAGGTGTTTGTTCCATCTCCATGGTGTTCCTCGTGTTTTCTGTTCCAGGGGATGGAGATGGTAACCGGAGAGGCAAGAGCTGGGAATTATTTCAGGATACACATCGACAGATACAGTATGGTAGACAGCATCACCTGCTTTTCCAAGGAACCCTTTCCTGTCTCCAACTACATTTGCTTGTACGGAAAGCACGAGCGTCTTCTCAATGATCTCCTTTATCGCTGGAATACAGGGCAGATTACAGATCTTTACAGGTAAGATAAGCTCAGTATTGTGCACAAAACCTACGTTCTGGCAGAATTTTAGTTTTATTTTATTAGTTTATCTTCTGGCTGTTTTCCCTTAGAACAAAGGATGACACAAGGTAGGTTGGTATGCCGGGTTTTGAGAACAGTGGTACCAGCTGCTGTCTCAAAGGGTGAACTCCCCTGAAGAGGACTCAGGGCTTTGCTGGGCCTGGATGTGCAGCTCTCACAATTCTTCTGATGTGTTTTGTACTCCTCTCCTCACTGTACGTATTATACAGTCTAGTTCTTTGTTTCTTTTTCTTCTCACCTTGTACTGGAAGAAGAGATGAACTCAGACTTCAACTGTGAGGTTTAAAAGTTTCTTGGACAAAAATGCATCTTCACAAATTTCATTTCAGAAAACCTTCATGTGCCTCTGCTGAGAGGAGTGCCAAACTTGTGAATTGTTGCTGCTGCAGGGAATGATTCTGATTCACAGAAAACATTGGGCTTGTTTTACAAGAGAGGAATGGCACACAGCAAATGTGAAGTTCACATAAACAGTGTATTGTCAATAGGTGTTAAGTGGAAATCCAAGGAGGATGGCACAGTTGTACGAGAGATGGGCTGAGACGGCACATCATTTTCTTTCCTTGTCACAGCTGATGCTGATCAGCTAATCCATTTTGAGCACTGGAAGAAACTCAATAATCAGGTTGTGGCAAGGTGTCATCCGTCTTTTTTGCGGTGTTACAACATGCAAACACAGCTGTGATCCAATCTTTTCTGCGAACCACCAATGCTGCCAGACACTTTGGCCTTTGTTGTTTGCCCAGAGGTGGTTACAGCATCACTGTATGTACTAGCAAGTTTCACACTGATATCAACATCTGGAAGACTAAATCACCTGGCTTTGGTGATTTATTATTTTATCTGGTGAACAGCACAGGTAGCACTGTTTTCCTGACCTTGACCAAACCAGAATTTGTTGCCCTTCTCTCTGTTGCTGCGTGCCAGCCCAAGGACCTCCATGTAGCTGCACCAACCTGCACTCTTGTTAGCTACACACACAGATTTTGAAGAGGTGAGACATTAACTTTCTGAATGGACAGTTTGCTTCTTGGTGAGAGAAGTTAAGAAGCATTAGCCTCTTGGGCTCTTGTGATGGCAATAGGATCCTGAGGCAACGCACAAGATGATCGGGGGATTACAAGTAAGATCAAGTTCTAAGCATCCACGGAGATTTTAAAAATCTCAGGAGAGACAAAGACGATGATCTCTGAAGATCTGTTAATAGGATGAGTCAGCCAGTCAACATTACAAGATAGCTGCAGCTTTATCTGATGGCAGCAGAGACACTGCTGGGGGAAGTCACCCTCTCTTGAACTGGTCTTTGCTTCCCAGGACCTGAAGTTTGAAGCTGCGCACAGTCGAGGGACCACGACCTATGTGTCCATGTGGCACAGCCAGGATGGCTGGCACGCCACACACAGGGACACCACTTGGCAGGTCTTCATCACATCTCTTGAGCTCTTCTTAATTAGTGAATTTTGGACTCGTCTTTTTACAGCCTTTAGATGTGGATGTTGTTTGGGATCTTTTTGCCTAATTATTTTACCTCGCCTCGCGTTAGCCTGTGGTAAAATTCCTGAATTACAGTGGCCAGGTTTTTCTTATCTGGTTATTTTACTGCCTCTGGTCTTGCTTTTCATCTTCTTTATACCTGATCTTTAGACAGGTTTGTTCCTTCTCCTGTTGCTGTGTTTGGTCATTTGAATGAAATCACATATGTTGCTCTGTAGCAATTAACATATGCTAGTCTTTAATCCTCTCTTGCTTGTTTCTTTTGCTGCTTTCACACGTGCGCACACACACATTTCCCTTCCTATCAGGCTTGATATTTCTGTTACTCACATCTGTACTATATCATACATACAATACATATGCATCCATATAATATGATGTAGAGATATATGTTTACAATATACAACAATGGACACTGTTCAAACCTAGCCATGACAAGACTATCTGTTAGAAAATCATTAAACTGAAAAATGTTTTAGCATCTCTTGTGAGCTGGAGGTTGTCTTGAAGCTTTTATATAGATAAAAAGTGGTATCTGGTCATCTTTCAGCAAGGAATGTGAAAATGCACTCATTGATTTCTCTCTGTGTGGCAAAAAGAAGAAAAACCATTTGGGGTGATGTTCACGTGGTCTGCAATGATCTCACAGGACCATGTGAATGCAAACTCGATGTTTTTTAATTTCTCTCTTTGACTTTGCAAAAAGTCCTTTTAAGCCAGTACATATTACACTTACATCCACTTGCAGTATCTCCTAGCAAGATGTGAAGTGCTTTTAGCAAAAAGCAAATGCAGACTGTGAAAATGTTGTGGTTTGTTAGGTAAGCTTCTAAAATTGCTGGTATGAAATGTTCATTCCCCCTGCTCCACTCCTTTTTATGCCTCTATTTTAGGGAGTGCCTTCCCATACAGCAAAAAAGTACAATGTTTTAATCTTTTGGTCCACATTTACATTTCCCAGCATGGCATCTAGTTCCAGGAATGGACATGGTAGGAACAGCTGTCACCTGGGAGCTCATTTATTTCTGTGTAGCATGCAAATTATCTTTTAAATAATTAGAGACTGCACCTAGCAATGAATTTCCTCACTGATTTGCGTTCGGTGTAAGAGCTGAAAGTTAACCCCCTGGTACCGGATTTCCTGACCACGATGTGCCAGTGCCATTTTCAAATTAGCATTAACAACAGGCCCTCAAGATTCTGCCGACTTGAAGTAACCCCTCCCAGTCACGCGCCTGAAACTGTGGCTAACGGTGATAATGAGAGAAATCACATTTCCTTCTGCTGAGAGAAAAGTTCCTTCAATCTCAGTATGAGTTCAGCGTGAATAAAAGCTCTGGGATTTGCAGGACCCAACAGTCCAACGCCCCCAGTCACACCAATTATGTACATTCAAATGCTTTTGAATTTTATTTTTTTTCCCAGAACGCAATGCTCTTAGCCAACACTGTATCTTTTATTTTTAAGCTTATAGGTTTGTTACTGGCCATCGGTGCTCCTACACTGCTTCACAGAGGACGAGTGTAACCAGCCCATTCCACCCTTTTGTATTCTCCTGAGATGAAGGCAACTGTAAGGCAGTTGCCAAGTTATGGAACGTGTTCACAGAGCGATGGAATCTCCCTCTGCTGTATCTTAAGTACAAAACAGATAATTAGAGGGGTCTCCCGGTACTTGGCAACCAAATGGATGCTCACTGGCATCATGCCTTTAATATGAGATACAAGTGCTTCATGTAGGCTTCATTTGGCATTAATGAAAACCAAATCTGCTAACATAATGCATAAAAAATCTGACCCACTAGTTTATGAAATACTTAAGTAGCTTTTTTATCAAATTAGGTGTGAGTGGGTTTTTGTTTGTTTTTTTTTTGCTGTGGGTTTTGTAATACTATATGAGTGAACTGGTGTTCAGCTGTGACCTACAGAAGGTGCTAGTGGCAGTAACAGGTTTAGGCTGACGAAGCGTCCTGTCAGAGGCAACCTCATGATACCCATCAGTCTCTGAAGGGTTGTGCTGCACAACCACCCCCTTCTCGAGGCTCATCTTTTACCTATTCACCAGGTTTACTCTCTGTTAGTCAGATGCTGTATGTTAAGCACTCCTGGTATACAACTGTTTTTAAGGCATGCCGGTGGACTAACATGTGATGCAGCAGTCAAAGTGGTTTAAGTAATGCAGAAGCGCTCTGTTTATATTGTGTTTATATGTAGTTCTTACCAGAAATCTGCTTTTAGTCATCCCTGCTTGCCACGCTTCGGTTTGCTCATGGACCCGCCTTGGTGCTAGCCGGTCCAATGTGGCTGTGTACCTGCAGGAGAGTTACGAGGTCAGACCGAGAAGGCAGCGATTAGCAGAGAAACATTACAGCCACACTCATCCAATCCGAGCTCAGAGAGACTTCCTTACCTTTTTTTTCCTTAACGACTTGACTCAATGACTGCCCAAGAGGCTGAGCACCCTGAAAAAGAATAAGGGATGCTCTGCACTGGGAGGCACTGAGACACAAGGCTGCCAAACACTGGAAGAAACCTTCACATAATCATAGTACTGTTTGCATTAGGCTAAAAGTGATTTATTAAGCTGTGTCGTTTGATGAGAGTTTAAGCAGAACCACCACGCTGGACTGTTTATTGACACAACTCTAGTAAACCTCACAATATAACAAACAAATCAGGGAAAAGAAGAACATTAAATATTTTTAGTATTATTTTTAAAAGGACAAGGTGAGGATGTAAATTTCTTACTTACAGCCTGGACCACTAGTGATTATTTAAACATTAAATGTGTGCTACATAGAAAAGCTGGTTTTAACCAGACTTTTGAAAATCAGAGTGATTGTTCATTAAGAGAAATATTAGAATACTCTGCAGTCTGGAATTTGCCGGATCCCCTATCATTAGCACACTGTGATTGCATTTAAGGGATTCCACCTTAGGCTTTTGTTCATCACGGAGACCATGAGACTTATTTCCTGCAGGGATGAAAAAAAACAGAAAGGAAATGTGGCAGGTAGCAAACATGGCTGAGAGTGACTAATGCTGCCCAGTACACTTTGCAGCCTAATTAGAGGGAAATTTGTATGCTTTTTATGAAGAGAGGGGCAGGATAAGGCAAGAGGAACACGTGAAGAGATAGCAAAGCACTAACAGACTTTTTTTGCTGCCAGAATTAAATGGTAGCCCCAAGGTGCACTGGCAAAGCTGTACTTACACAACAAATCAATACAAATGGTAGAGCCCTTCAGGTGCCTTTGATTTCTATATATTAATGTAGTTTTTAAGGAGCCGCTAACTTGCTAACAAAGAGCTACGTTACTAAGAAACCCCACGTCCAAATTGGGGAGTAAAGGCTAGTCAATGGAATCTTGCATGTTAATTTGCAGTCGAACCTTGCTGATTCATATTAATAATTAGTCAAACCATTATGAATGATTGAACTCTGAATTCGTAAACAAGTAATTGCAGGAAAGCAGCTGTACCGCTGCGCACGGTGTATTTGTTGATTTTGTGGATTGGTTTTAATTTCCTTTTAATTGTTCTTCTCAGTGTGTTACTTGGGAAATGGTACCACGTGAAAAAATGCAATAAACCTTATGTCTGCGTCAGCCTTAGCTTCCTCATAAACAGAACAGAGAGCAATGCTTTTGTATCAGTTTTAAAGAGCAGTTCGGTGAGAATCAGCTACACAGTAACTACCGCTCTCTAGTGAAGCACCTAAACTTTCCCAAATTCCCGAGCTAAAATGCATTCCTATCACTGCTTGCAGTTTCTCTTTCCACTTCTGACTTCTTTTGTTTGTTTTTTTTTCTGAGGATTTCAGGTGAGATTTTCCAAGGTAAGGAAGTCTCTTTGAGCTCAGATTGGATGAGTGTGGCTGTAATGTTTCTCTGCCCACTGTCAAGGGCATAAAGCCAAAATCAACACCGGTCCTCAGAAGCCCATCCTTAATATAAGTGGCAATGACTCGGGCCTTGCTTTGCCTCATTCTCAGGAAGGGAAGCCCAACAGAACTGACCTGTACGAGTATTAGAGCAGCGCCAAGCTTGGGAATGATAAAAGATGAACTGTAAGACTCTTATCATTCTGGAGAAGGGAAGGATTCCATGCCTTTTGTGCAGGACACCACTAAATATTTTCCTCCTTCTTCCCTTTCATGTGATGTAGGCTGCACATCACAAATGAGGCAGAACAGACTTTAAATATTGTTTGTCAATGAAAAGGCGAGACCAGCTTCCTAGCAACAAAAAGGATGTTGCTTATTGTCTTCAAAAGGAGCCCATTTCATCCCATCTCGTTACAAATGCCTTCCCATGATAGCTTCTGTCGGCATAAAGCTTTGCCAGCAGGGGATCCCCATTAGGAAGTGACCAAGTTTGAAAACCCGTTATGCTCCTGGCAAACATTGTCATCTTGTACATATTTAGCCCGATCACTCTGGCAGGTTATGAAAGACTAAATGGTGCAAACACATGTGGCAGACGCCGTTCTCATGATAGTTGAGGAGCCTTTGAGCCGCTGTTGGTAGCGTGCCAGCTCCATCTCATACACTGAAGAGCATTATACTTGCAAGCCTTCCACAGCTCGCCCTGAGGGACTGCTGCTGAAGTGGTAATAAAATTCAGAGTGAGCCTCAGAAAGTCAACTTGTTGGTTCGGCTTCAAAATGTTGGGGTTTTGTTGTTTTGGGTTTTTTTCTTCTATTATTGAACTTCCCTTCAGCAGCCATATATAGATCTGCTTTCTCAAAAACACCACATGCCCCTTCAGAAAGGTGACTCTCACTGAACAGATGAATAGATAAAAATGCAGAGCCAGCAAGGAAAGGGAATTGTTCCTGTGGAGCATATCTTTAAATTGCCTTTGGTGGTTATGCTTCTCCAGGTGAAGGGAAGTAAAGGGAATCCAGGAGTAAATGTTGTTTACTGGTAGCTCCTCTTGTCAGCTTATCGAGAAAATGCAGACAAGACACGGAAAAAGCAACAAAGTTCCCAGAAAAAGGGCATTTTATTTGCATTACACATTGCACACTTCAGGTTTTGAGCTCTGGATCTGTGAATATTGACAGGAGCAGGTGAAAATGCAGTTATGGGCTGAGCTGGTGACAGCAGCTGCTGAAACAGTTTACAAACATCATTTACTGCAGCATCTCAGCGAGGCAGGTGAACAACTTAACGAAGGTAAGGTGCTTGGAAGATATGCCTTGGCCAAGACATGAAATCACCTTATCAGGGTTAGAATTAAAATTAAGATGCCAGCTTGAAAATGACGTGCTTGATCAGCGGAACATGGCTTTTAGCGGGGCACATCGGTAAAAATGGAAAGTCTTTAATTATCTTAATGTATTCCAGCGTAACACCCCCCTTTGCCCTGCTTTGCCATCTCCTATCAACCTTAAGTTAAAGGTTGGGTGGTGGTTTTGCTTCTGAAAGGGTTTTTAAATCTCTGGGGAATATCCTGTTCTCCTCTAGCTCTCTACACACTTTATAGGTATGCTGTTACTTAAATAAACACACTTAAAGGCGAGATCATCTCTTCTAGCGTGCCACATGCGAATGAACAGCTACATCGAGCTGCAGCCTCTCTGTCCTTTCACCCCTCTTTCACAGAAGAATGCTGTCATGAACGCTGCTGCCAGGAGAAAAAAAGTTACAAAAGAGCTTCCTCCTAGCGTAGGTTCCATTTAGCTTCAGCGCACGAGCACAGAGAACATATTGCAACACGGTGGTGGCCTGTTTTTCTGGCCTTTATTAATCCAGAAACCTTAATGATGAACAACATTTGTGTCATTGTCTACACAAATTTAATTTGTTTATGCAGCAGTTCAGTTAATCCTGCAATCTGCTTTTCTCAAATGAGAACAGATAATGGAGACACCGTTCTTTACAGCTCTTCAGGCTTTTAAATTCTGATAAAATCAGGATTCTTCACTGGGTCTTGCCACAGCTCTGAATTAAGCCACTTTAAATGTAATTACTGGAGCTGGCTGTACATCAGGAACATCCATTAAAAGAATTGATTGACTATGCTGTTACAGGAGGCATTTTATGAACAAACGATCGCAATGGGTCCAGAACTGTAATTTATAAAGGCAAAAAAGCAGGTAAATACTTTATTAGCAGTTAATGAAAGGTTCACAGGATAACTAAATTTCTTTTTTTCTAACCAGCTACTTCAGGGAACCTTGGTCCATGGCCATCTATCATGATCGGTTTATTGATCTCAAGAAGGAACTGCGCCAAGTCCTGATGTCGGAACAGGTAAGAAAAACGACCAGCGAGTGCATTTTATTATTTAGGCAATTTGCTAGCATTGTGCACTTTGGTTTCTTCTCCTGTCTTTCTCCCAGAGCTTTAATGCTTCTGTTTAGCTATTTCTTCTGGGAAACCTGAGCAGACCCTGTACCCCATGGAGGGGTCAGCAAGCACGGCGCATTGTTCAGTTTTGTTACTCAGGAGTATTTTCAAATTTGCCAGTAGACCTTTTCAAGTTGCCTTCTTTTCCTTCCCAGTATTTTCACATTACACATGTGTCTAGTACGACTGCCCAGCAGAGTCTGGAGGCTTACTCGTTCAGTTATTCTCTTTTTTTAATTCATGTCTCCTAATATGAATACACCACAGGTCGTCTAAACCTGTCTCAGCTGATCATATGAAAAAATACCCACAGGGAATGCCTTTTGTAGCCAGAAGAGTAAAAGCAACTGGCTTTTTCAGTGATGAGTGGCTTTCTTGAGTAAGGCTGAAATTAAAATGTTTGCTAATGCTGTTTACAGCTTTGGCCTCAGTACCACAGGCAGGGTGGCACGAAGTCTCAGCGTCCAGTAACTTTGCCTGCTCAAAATCCAGACAGTGAGAACTGCTCACTGCAGATCTCCAGCAGCCCCGGGAACTGCCTCCCCTGGCGAATTTCTGGCTAATCTCAAACACGATTTGCAGCCTGTATCTCAACAGTTCCAACCCTGCTACTCAGGACCAATTCAGCCTCTCTCTCCTCCTTTTGCTTTTGTGTAAGGCAGAGGAATTCTGGGCCACAGCAGTGTTTGTTGAAGTATTGAAATTGTGTGGGGAAACAGACTCTTTTTCGCTCCTCCTTGTATTTTCATTTGGATTTTCCTCACTGTGATTTTAACTATACTAAACATCACATTGATATGTTTTCCTTGGGTGTTCCTCCTAGGCATGCTGTCAAACACGTAGTAGGAGCAGATCATAAATAGGAATACATCTTAAAACACTTACGGAACATATCTTAAAACGCCTCGGGATGGGCGGCTCTCTTTCTCTGTGAAAGAGCAAGAGATCTGCTCTTACTGCTCCCCTGTTGCTCGTATCACAGAATCACAGAATCTTAGGGGTTGGAAGGGACCTCAAAAGATCATCTAGTATCCCAGCTTGCTTCAGTGTGTGAGTGAACGACATGTAAAAACGAAGGGGGAAACACTCGTTTGGAAGAGGTGCTTAAGGGCTGTGAGTGTAAATACCCCGACTCGGACACTTCTGGTGAGTTTGCAGAGAAACTGGAAACCATGCTGGAAAGTGGAAGTCATCCAGGAAACTGGGAAACCCGTTCAGAGCAGCCACCGCAAGCAAGGGACTGAATTTCCCCACTGGCCCGTGGCACTGCCACAGCACTGGGATGCTCGTCCCCTTCCACGCACGCACGGTTTGGCCGCGGAGGGGGGCGTGTGAACCCAAGC